TAAAGGACAACCAGAGGAGCTTTCCATAATCTCTAGTGACCAAAATTAGCATCATCAGTAATGGGACGGATCGGCATCCTGTTTCTCAGTCCGATGCACTGAGAAGAAACAAACATCACTACTTGCTAAAAATACAGAACCTGGATTTAATCAAGGAGAGACACCAGGAAACCCAAGTGGAAGGACATTCTAAAAATAACTACTCAATACTGTTCAAAGGAGTCAAATCAAGGTCATTGAAAAACAAAGAGCGGCTGAGGGACGTCGCAGACTGGAGACTAGGAAGACAGGATAACTAAATACAACATGAGATTCTGGGCTGGGGTGCAGCCCAGGAAGAGAGCATTAATGGAACAGTTGGAAAAGTCAAAGAAAGTCTATGTATCAGGTAATAGTACTATGTCAATATTAGTGGTCATGTGAGTTTTTATCACTTGGGTAAACTGGATGAAAGACACATGAAAATTCTTGGTATTTTTGTAACTATTTTGTAAGCCTGAAATGACTTTTGTAAGTCTTCAAAATGAAAAGGTTAAATGTTAATTAAAGGTTAATTATTCAAGTCAACAGGATAGAAGATGGACAACTGAAGAGGGCCCTTGAAATGAGACAGATTACAAATAACATCTGTCATTTTTGTTGGGTATTGGCTGATTAGAACAATGATTTGCAACACGGATTTGGGCCCCCCAACCCATCTCCCCCCGTACACACTTTCTCATCCTGTTTTGATTTGAATGTCACAAAACCTTTAGAAAATTTCAAAGTAGTGTTAGTCAAAACTCACTTTGATTTTAAGTGTAAAATATCCTGTATAAATACTTCTCACAAAGGTGAAGGGAGAGGAGAGGGGAAATCATACAGACAAGCTCCAAAGACATAGCTCTGAGCTTTAAAACAGTTAAAGCAGAATCACCTGGGAAACTTGTTTTTTAAAGCTCTGACACCAAGCCCCACGTAAAACCTATAGAACCGGGATCTGTAAGAGTAGAGTGTTTGTACAAGGTCACTGAGGGATTCTGAGGCAAACCAGGCAAGTTTGAGAGAAAGTGGTCTCTAACACACGACTCATTAACCACTAGGTGGTGCCAGGTTATCAAAGATGGAACTTTCTGTTACTCCCTTCTGTATACAGTATACTCATTTCTTCTTTTTTCTCTACACATCTACCCAGACTTTTAGAAAAGGATACATCACACCAAAATAAATATGCCACTCAGTATGAGTTCGGCAGTGTCTCCTTGAACTGACTTCGTTTTGACAGACAAGCTTGTTCTGAGGGACCCAGGGCACTGCTTCCGTGCCCGTCTTTCCCTGAGCATCTTCCTTTCTGGCTGCAAAGGTTTGAAAGAAGGAAATCCACTGGAAGTAGAGCCTCGTCAGCAATGAATAATCAGATAAGAGAGAATGAAGCGACATGTTCCTGGAAGTCATATTTAACCATTTGTAGGTTCAATCCCTGCCCTTACCCAAAAACCATGAATTCAAAAACATACCAGAATCATCAGTTCATTCTTTTCCAAACTCCCACTGCTTCAGAGAAAAAGTATTTGACACCTTCTTTAATAATTTTATCCTTTCTTCTCTCTCATATTTTTTTCACATTAACAAACACTCTGTGGATGATAATCTTACTTCAGAATTTTTCTGAAGAGTGCATTTGTTTGAAATGTTTTGTATGTAACCTTACAAGCATTGAATTACTTTTTCTTTTGAACAGAAATTGCTGTAAAGCTGAGCAAGCCAAATAACACATTTATTCTGTCAACCTTACAAATATCTATTGAGTAGCTCTACATAGCAATACAGTGTTACAAGCTAGCGAGGAAATGCAGGGGTGAGCAAAACAAACAACATACAAGTTTTCATGCACTTGCATTCTAGTTGAGAGAAACATATGGGGAGAGAAAAGGAAACAAATTAACAAAATAATGACAGAGCAACAGCTCTTTTTAAAATAAAATAAAGCTGTGCCCAGGCCTTTTCTCACCTGTCACCAGGTCCTCCAGAGAGATGACTGCGGTGCATGCAGGGCCTGAGGCAAACATGGACCCTGGTGAGCAGACACTGAGCAAGAATGAGCTGAAAAGACACCTGAAAACTAAGAAGAAAGTAGCAGAGAAGGACACCAATCAGAAGCAGCTCAGTGCAAAACAACTAAGCCAGACAAATGCTGCTGCCACCACCTCCACCACTGACAACACTGTGGGTGCCAAGGAGGAGGGCCTGGGCCCAAACCAATGCCACAAGATCTGCAGACAAGCAGCCCACCAGCTAAAGGCCAGTTCGGAAGACCAGCACCCACACAACTTCCGGGTGGACATCTTGCTCACTCACTTCCTCCGGGAATATAGTTGGCTGCAGCCTGGGCACCACCTGAGGCACATCACCTTAAAGGTGGCAGGGAGGATCCATGCCAAAGGAGCTTCAGAGGGAGAGTTCATCTTCTGTGACCTTCCAGGAGAGGAGGTCAAGTTGCCAGTCATGGCCAATTCCAGGAATTGTAAATCAGAAGAAGAATTCATTCATATCAATAACAAGCTGCATCAGGGAGACATAATTGGGGTTCAGGAAATCCTGGAAAAACCAAGAAGGGTGAGCTGAGCCTCATTCCTGTGAGGTCACACTACTGTCTCCTGGCCTGCATATGTTACATCATCTTCACTCTGGCCTCAAAAACAAGGGAACATGATATCGTCAGATACTTGGACTTGATCCCAGGTGACTTGGTGAGGCAGAGATTTATCACGTGATCTAAGGTCATCACATTTATAAGAAATTTCTTGGATGAGTTGGGAATCCTGGAGACTGAAACTCCATGATGAGTACCCTCCCAGGGAGCTGTGCCCAGGCCTTTTCTCACCTGCCACCAGGAGCTGGACCTGAGTGCACATGAGAACTGCCCCGGCACTCTTCTGTAGGATGCTGCTGGTTGGTGGCATTGGCAAGGTTTATAAAATTGAACACCAGTTCCAAAATGAAGCAATTGATTTGGTTCACAGTCCTGAGTTCACCGTCTATGAGTTCTACCTGGCCGATGCAGACTATTGCAGTCTCGTGGAAATCACAAGGTAGGTGATTTCACAGGTGGTGGACACATTACAGGCAGTTATGAGGTCACTTACCATCTAGATGGCCCCAAGGGCCAAGCCTATGAGATTCATTCACCCATCCTTCTGGAAAATCAGCGTGTAGTAGAGCTTGGGGTGAAGCTGCCACACACTAACTTCTTCTAAACTGAACTTATAAAATTCTTGATATCTGTGTGGCAAAAGCTGTTGAATCCCCTCCACCTGGGATCAACGCATGGAAGTGGCATCAACCCTACAAATTTGTCTGTGATCACCCAGGGACAATGAGCCCTTTGGCCAAATGGCACCACTCTACAGAGGGTCTGCCTGAGCCCTGTGAGCTTTTTGTCATGAGGAAGGAAATACACAATGCCTACAGCAAATTGAATGACCCCATGAAGCAGCAGTAGCTTTTTGAAGGACAGGCCAAGGCCAAGGCTGCTGGCAATGATGAGGTTATGTTTACAGACAAAAACTGCTGCACCACCTGGACTACGACGGGCTGGCCCCCCACAGTGGGCGGGGGCACAGGCGTCAACTGAGTTACCGTGTTGCTCACAGACTCCAATAAAATCAAGGCAGTGCTTTTGTTTCCTGCCAGGAAACCAAAAACAAAAGGAAAATGTAGCAGTTGCTGATACACTGGAAAGAGCAAGAGCTGGCACTTCTGTCTTGAAAAGAAGAATTACAAGTCACATAATTCAGGCATCGTTGCATTTCTACAAAAGACCAAGGACTGCAAGGAAATTATTATATGTTGCTCTCCACCTGACTATCACAGTTCGGCCACCAGAAGAGAGAAAAGGAATTAAGAATTCCTACTTTACTCCTTGTTACCAAATAAACTGTGTCTCTAAAGAAGGAGGAGGAGGAGGAAGAGGGAAGAAGAAAGAACAAAAAAAATAAAAACTAAAGCATAGTGATGTGGTAGTTTCCACACAAGGTGGAATTGTTTTAGACAGGATTATCAGGGAAGGCATCCCTGAGGAGGTGACATTTGAGCTGAGAGGAAACGTTGTCAAGAAGAACTGGAGGTCCAGCTATCTAGGCAGAGGGTAGTGCAAATGCAGAGAGCTGGGGGTCGGAACAGGCCTGGCATGTTGCAGCTCAGGAAGAACGCCAGCACAGGGAAGCATCCACCAGACAAGGTTGGGAAGAAAGACTTGGTCAGGGCCATAGATCACAATTTAGATTTCATTTTTTGTGAAATGAGAAATCATCAGAAAACTTGCAGAAAGTAACAGGGTCTAAATTAATTTGAAAGATCATCTTGTCACCTGATTGTAGAGGGGACACCAGCTGAGTTTATGAGATGTCCCTAGGAGGCTTTCAGGTTGATGAGATGCCTGTAGAAGGCCTTGAACTCTTTTATTTGCCTGAAGTATTACCATGTGGTTCCTGAAGAGTTTTCTAACTAATGCCTGCGTTATATGTTCATAATATGGAGTCGGGAAGTTTCTTCCCGGAAGTTTCTTTATTAAGAAATTAGTCACAGGCCCTGTCTGGTGTGTCTCAGTGGATTGAGTGCTGGCCTGCAAACCAAGGGGTCACTGGTTCAATTCCCAGTCGGGGCATATGCCTGGGTTGCAGGCCAGGTCCCCAGTAGGGAGCAAATGAGAGGCAACCACACATTGATGTTTCTTTCTCTCCCGCTCTTTCTACTTCCCTTCCCCTCCCCTCTTCCTACAAATAAATAAATAAAACTTTTAAAAATAAAGAAATTAGGCACAAATTAGATAATTAAACTGTTACTGAATTTATGACTTTGTCTCCCATCACATGTGCAACTTTGGATCTGTCCACATTCATGCAAATCTCTGAACTTTCGTTTTTCTGGCTGTTAATAATAAGGGCAGTAAAATGAGGGTTAATATTTACTAAAGCTGTGACCCATAACTCAAAGTTTTTAAACCAGCAGACAGTATTTTTACCAGCGATCAAGAGAATGTCAGGTTAACCTTCTTAAAAACAATAGCTTCTGATTTTTCCTAATTTCTTTCTGCAACTGTAAAGTTAAACTAAAGAGAAAGAGCAGAGTTTTACTGAGGGCCTTGTCTCATCACTATTTTGCAGAGAAAACTGGAGTTCGCAGACATGAAAGCTTTAGTACGTCAGAGCCCCCTAACACAGGAAGTGTGAGGCAGGATCCGAAGCCAGCTTTGTCTTCCATGGAACGTAAGCTGTCCCTCCAATGCAAAGGCCTGGAGTGCAGTCAATGGAGGAGTAAGAAGAAGGACCTCCATAACAGACCTGAGAAGACTGAGCGGTGGGTATCCCTGTAAGCTTTGTGTGGGGAGGCTAAGAAGGGGACAGGGAAGATTGAAGGGGACACTGGAAGAAGGGAATGAGGGGATATGGTGGCAATAGTTTGTACATCTACCAAATACGATTTTGAGATCTTTAGTCGATGTCATCTACCCTACCCTATGGCCACTCTTCCTTATTTCTTATGATAACAGCCCTCTTAAACACATTAGGCTATTATCCCAGGAAGAGTCCACTGTACTCCCTAAGTTCTCCTGGCCACTTACTGAGACTGAAGACACTCGCAAAGTTCCAGTCATTAAGCGCAAGCAGATGAAAAATGTAACTTCCCCTGGGAGGGGCTATTACCTTCTTACTCTATTAGTAATATGAATATAGAATCTGAAGCAGTTCGATTTTGCTGCATAACAAATCATCTCAAAACATAGTTTAAAACAACTGCTTATTATTTTTTGCAAGTCTGGAGGTTGGCAGATAGTTCTCCTGGCTTAGACCAATTATTAGTCAGGTGTCTGTGGTCAGACAGCAGGTCACCTGGGGCTGAGTGGTCTGTGATCAATGAATGACTCAACTCTGCTCCGCGTGGTCTCACTTGCCGCATACCCCTAACTCAGGTATGTTGTCAGGATGAGGACAGAGAAGCCAGAGAGGAAGCAGAAATGTTCAAAGCTTTTTGAGGTTTAGACTCAAAACTGTCATATTACTTTTTCTGCATTGTACCCCAACCCAAGTTAGAGTGGGCAGAAACTACAGTCATCAAGCAAAGGGGATGGATATGTAGAGGCCATTAAATTAATTGAGGGCATAGACGCCTTCAATCTGACACGGAATAGGAGAGCAAACTTTGATGGGGAGAGTAGGAAAGAGAAGATAGAGGATACAAGTTATTTGCATTCCTAGTCATCTCATGCATGGACATCTCATGTTCTATTATCTAGTCTTGTCCTCAAGCAAACAGTACTCATCCTTCTCATTTGTAAATCTCCATCCTGGTATTTCCTGTGCAAGTTAATCATCTCCTCACATACATTTTGTTTTGCAATGGTCTTTGATTAAAATTAATTAAATACTTAAAAACATTTAATCATTTGAGTTAAGCCATTAGATTTTTCTTTGATACAGCATAAACAAACTTTCATGTCCTTTTATTATTCTTCTAATTAATGAACAACTTTCATGTTTGCATGAATGACATGGTGGAACAGCAATTAAAAAGGAAGAATAGAAAAGACCAACTTCCTTGTGAATTCACCAGTTTATCATCAGTAAATATTTATTGAGCCCCCACAGTGAGGAAAGAACCATGACGTGTACATTATATTACATGTGTAAAAAAAGCATATTCTGATTATAGAAAGCACAGATGAGACATGGATGATCAAATATTGATAATATCATTTGACAGTGAATATCAAAGTTGTTGTGTTAGGTATGTTTAATTTTTTTTTAATTAAAGGAGTAAATTTAAAGGAGTAATCTGAAGAGCATTTAGGGGAAGTTAGGGTGGAGACTTTGAGGCAGCATATACTCACTACCTTCTAAAGTGAGGAAAAGTGTCAGGACCGAATTAAAACATAGGTCATCATAAGTAAGGGGTCAGTAAAAGTGACCCCACACCAGCATCAAGGTAAGGTAAAGCTCTTGGGGCGAGTAGATATTATCTCAGGCAACACACAGAATGTCTCTTTGGTCTTTTGCTGGCTCACAGATGTGGGTTTCAGGTGTGGTTGATCCGGTCCCTCTGAGCAGACTCAGAGAGAGAAATCTTCAGAAGAGAAGCATACCACTGGCTGAAAGAGCTGTCATTGGCCAGATCATGAGTCAACCTAGTGCTGCTTCCTGGTCCTCCCCAGAGCTTCTGGAAGAGCTGCTGGCTTCTGGAAGATGTGGAGAACACAGCAGACCCTGCCAGAAAAGAGCAGCACCCAGCATATATTCCAAGATCAATTCATGCCCTGGAAGACCACGTGCCAGGGAAAGAAAGCCAAAATGGATGCAGACCTGAAAACGTGAGTGACAGGTCTCAGACCTGGAAAAAAACAATTGAGCGCTGCCTCATTGCTATATGAAAGGTCTTTTTGGTATCTCACAAACAGAAAGTCTCTACATGGAAGAGGTCTTTGGTTGCCTGTTGGGGACATTTTTCTTCTTTATCATCAAGGGCTTGAGCAAAAACAAGAGTGGTCCCACATACTTTAATGTACTTCGAACCTGACAGTGCATTTTGCTGATAGGTGTATTGCACAGAAGAACTGGCAGAGTTTGAGGTTTCTCATGTTATGCAAGCTGAAGAAAGAGAACTCAAACAGAGGGAGACAGTGAGCAACGTTCGCAAAGCCTTCAAAAGTGTGATTGTAATCTAGGACTCCATTTGTTCCGGAGACCTCGGTATTGCCCAGTTCAGGGAAAACGGGATTGTAACACACTTGCCCTGTCACACTTGCCGTGTCAACTCTGTAAGTTCTGGTTTTAAGTTCCTTTTAAGCTAGAAAGATAGGTTTGGTTTTAGGTTAAATTTCTTTGACTTCCTTATAAACAGACATTATGGGTTAGGCTTTTGATTTTTTAGCTTTTGCTCTGTTTCCCAGTTTAAATTTTGTATACAACAACTAGCCGAGTACCAAGTACATGTGGATAGTTAACTTTTTTAAAGTTCCTCTGCAATTCCAACTACAATTGCTTAAATATCCCTCAAAGAATCCTATCTTCAAAGGCAAGAAAATTTTATGGGGAGGTTATTTGGCTCAGCCCAGACCTGGGGCAATAAAGAGAAAGCCTCCAGAAAGACACACGAAGGCATCCGCATGGGTACGCGCAGGGACACCAGGGAGGCAAACCCTGGGCATGAGGCACAATGGGGACAGAGAATATAAGATAAAATGTCAGTGGGCTCAGGAGACGAGGTATGTGCTTTGTTCCTTTTGGAGGGAGACTGTGTAGAACAGTGGGAAGACACGGGGCTCTGGCTTCTCCAGACCTGCCTTTGAATGCCAACTCTCAGAGCTGCCGTCTAACTGCATGTGTGCACTAGGAAAAGAGACCATTTCTCTCGGTTTTTCTCATCTCCAAAATGATGAGACATATACCTATTTCCTAGCATTGTGTAAAGGATTAAATAAAGTTCCTTTCTACTCTTTATCTCCCTCCCTGAAAACCTACTAAGAAACACTGGAACCACGTCTCTAGTGGCCCAGCCCAATCACCACGCCCCACCCTACTCCAGAGAGTTTACACAGGTGCATAGGGCAGATGTCGAATTCAAACTCTGGTTTACCAGAAATCTCAAAATAGCATCTGACCTGTCTAGGCAAACTGCTCACTGTGGCTGAGGAGGAGGTAGTAATATCTGTGTTTCAGTCTCTCAGTTTTCTCACTCACAAGCTATAAAACATGGGATAAATTCATTAAACTCTCTGTGCCTCTCTGCCTCTCAGCCTTTTCTTCTGCAAAACGAGGATAACTCCTTTATGAAATCACTTCCAGTACTGCACACAAGCACGACCTTTAAAAAAACTCGTCCGACTTGCTACCCAGTTGGGTCATTTTCTGCATTTTTTCTTAACAAGCAGAGAATATTTTTCATTTGGTTAATGGACATGTGCATTTTTTCTTCCATAAATTGCATGCTTTTGACCTGACTCACATCTTAAAAGATCCTATGAGCTAAATTCCCAAAACTAAACTCTCACAAACAGCACCATCTCAGTCTCCTCTTCGGAATTCAGCCTAGACTCACTGGTATTCACTGTTTGAAAAGAATTGCAGGATGATCACTAATGGAGTCAACAGTAACTTAGGGATGTATTAGTGCCTGAACTCTTTCTCTTCGCCTCTCTCTAACAGATGATAGTTCATGCTCTTCTGAATGACTCAAGATTTTGAGAGAATCATCCTTGTGTCATCCTTGTTTTTACCATTGTTACAAACAGGTGAAATAAACAACCACCAAAAAAGATGTAATTTCAGGGTTATCAAGAAGAGTAAAGGGAAAATACCAAAAATGCTGGCCCTGGACTTATGGAGACACATATTTTAAAAAATTAAAAACATGTCTTTAAAGGGAACAGGGATGATCAGATTCATCAATGGTGAATAAGTTTCTAATTATATGGTTTAAAATAATTATATAGCCAGAAATAAACCCTAACATTTATGGTCATTTCATTTTCAACAAAGGGGACAAGACAATTCAATGGGAAATAAGTAGTCTTCCCAACAATAGCACCCAGAAAACTGGCAAGAGAGCAAAGTGCCAGGACCACATGCAAAAGAATGAAGTTGGACCTCTACCTTACAACACACACAAAAATTGACTCAACATGGATCAAAGATCTTAAACTTATATAAATGCTAAAATTATAAAATTCTTGAATGCATTGGAGTAAACAAATCTCCATGACCTTTGGTTAGGGAATTATTTCTTAGCTACAACACCAGAAGCACATGTGATAAAAGAGAAGACTGATAAATTGAATTTTATCAAAATTAAAAACTTTTATGCTTCAAAAAACACCATCAGCAAAGTAAAGCCAAGAGAGGTGAGTGGAGATCAAATGAAAGAAAGTGAAGAGACCAGCCAAAAAACATATATGCCTGACCCATAGACACAGAGACCAGCCAAAAAACATATATGCCTGACCCATAGACACAGAGACCAGCCAAAAAACATATATGCCTGACCCAGAGAGCAGTGTGGTGATAGCCTGAGGGAAATGAGGGGGAGGGCTGGATGGAGGTAGGCAAAGGGAGAAATATGGGGACAACTGTAGTAGTGTAAACAACAGAAATAAAGTTAAAAAAAGTAAAGAGACAACCCACAGAATGGGAGGAAATATTTGGAAATCATATATCTGAAAAGGGGCTTGTATTCAAAATATATAAAGGGCACAACTCGATAATAAAAAGACAACCCAGTTTGAAAATGGGCAAGTGATTTGAATAGCTTTTTCTCCAAAAGATATATAAATGGTCAATGACCACAGAAAAGATGCTCAATATAATCAGTATTAGGAAAATTCAAATTAAATGCATAATGAGATACCATCCCATCCACTAAAATCACTCTAATCAAAAAGAAAAATAAATAAGTATTGTCAAGAATATGGAGAAATTGGAACCTTCATCCATTGCTGATTAGAATGTGAAATATTGTGGTAACTTTGGAAAATAGTTTGGCAATTCCTCACAAAGTTAAAGAGAGCAATTTTATTCTTAGGCACATAACCAAAATTATTGAAAATGTATGTCCACAGAAAACATGCACACAAATTTCCATAGCAGCATCATTCACAACATCTAAAAACAGAAACAATCCAAATATCCATCAACTGAAGAGCAGCTAAATGAAGTGTGGCCTCTCCATACAATGAAAGATCATTTGATCATAAAATGGATGGAGGACTGACACAGGCTACAACCTGGATGAAACTGGCAAGCGAGCCAAGAGAAAGAAGCCAGTCACAAGGGATCACATCTAGTGTAATTCCACTTAGTGATGTGTCCAGAATAGGTACTTTCTCTGTGACAAAAGGCACATTAGTAGATTAGTGGTTGCCTAGGGCAGAAAAGGGGAGATGTAGGGGAGATGAAGAGTAATTCCTAGTGGTTATAAAAGAGCGATGAAAATGCTCCAGAATTAACTACAAATTGGTAGTCACAAAATAGTCCCAGGAATGTAAAGTACAGCATAGGAAATATAGTCAATAATATCATAATAACTATGTATGGTGCCAGGGGGCACTGGAAATATTGTGGCAACAACTTGGTAAAGTATATGATTGTCTAATCACTATGCCGTACACCTGACACTAGTACAAAATAATACTGAATGTAAACTGTAATTGAAAAATGAAATAAAAGCAATTTTCTCAGAGAGAACGTAAAGGTTTTTGCCACCCTGGTTGGTGTGGCTCAGTGGATTGAGTGCCAGCCTGTAAATGAAAGGGTCACCCATTTGATTCGCAGACAGGGCACATTACGGGTGTAATGTGAGGGGCATGCAAGAAGCAACCACACATTAATGTTTCTCTCCCTCACTTTTTCTCTCCCTTCCCTTCTCCCTAAAAATAAATAAATAAAATATTTTTTAAAAATATTCTTGCCAAAAAAAACAAATGAAAGGGAAATAATGTGAAAACAAAGAGAAAATGTTTTAAAATTAGATGATAGTGGCTAGGCAACATTGTAAAAATATACTAAAAACCACTATATTATACATTTTAAACTGGTACACTTTGTGTTATATGAATATCTTAAGCTATTTTTAATGCCTTCAAAAAACAGTTACTTAAAATAAAGCCATATGCTTTTATTATAAATGTTGGTAATAATGATGGTAACACCTCCCAAGTGCTTATTATGTGCCAGGTAATATTCAAAGTTTTTACAAATATTAACTAATTTACTTTCCCAATAAACCTATTAGGTATACACTATTATTTTTCCCATTTTACAGATTAGAAAACTAAAGCTCTCAAGTGGCATTGTAAGAATTCAAATACAGAGTCTGTGTTTTTAAGAAAATTATGTCCTGGCCCTGGAATCCAATAGCAGGATATGGGGGGATCCCCAAAATTCAGAGAACTGGGGAAATTGTTACATACTCTAACTCATGAGACAGCCTAAGAAAGATAAAAGTAAAAACATAGTTTTTTGTTACTTCAATACCGATGGAAAATGAAAGGTTGTAGATGGCATGACTGTGTCCCTCCCTCCTCGTCCTGTACGAGGACAGTGTGAAACACGGGCGGCCTGCTGCTGGGAGCCCTGGGCGTGTTTCCATTCTCCCACGGGTTACAGGAGGCAGAATTCTGCAGAGCAGCCTGGTGTGAACAGGGGCCAGACTACCAGGCCAGGAGGGGAGAGAGGGGCAGGAGGGCAGCCCTGGCTCTGGCACTTATTATGCTTGTGACCATCGGTAGTCACCCAAACCCTCCGTGTTCAGATGATAGACCTGTAACACAAAGTATCTTTACCAGATGCTTCCCAGGGTTACTATTTTAAAATTCCA